CTTTAAAAAAATTTATAGGTAAGGGCAAGGACCAATTGGATTACCTTTGTAATCAAAATGTAGTTTATAAGATCTCTTGTGACGATTGCGATGCTAGCTACGTGAGTCAGACGAAAAGACAGTTAAAGACAAGATTACATGAACACGTATCCGATATTAATAAGAGGTCAAAATCTCCAACGGTGATTACTAATCACCGAATTGACCAGAATCACAACTTCGACTGGCATAATGTTGAAATTTTAGACAGAGAAGCCTCGTATAACAAGAGATTAATATCGGAGATGGTTCATATAAAACGACAAACGCATGGGCTAAACAAACAAAATGACACAGATTCTCTGCCAGAATCATATCTAAACATTATCCAATCTCTTTCCCCCTCTTAACATTGTCCTTTGTCCCCTTCCTATTATTTTTCCTATTTCCTTGTTTCCTTGTTATCAGTAAGTCGTTTGACATCGTCGATTACAAATCTGAGACCCATCCGTATTATGGCTTACTTTTTATTTAATATAACGTTGTTAATTGCGTTTTCCTCTCTGCGTCTAACTTACATCTTTAAGACATTTTAAGGTAGATATTTTTATTTAATTTGTATTTTAAGTTAATTTATAACGTATTGTTAATTTATTATTTATTTGTAAGATTGGAGAATTGTAAAAAAAGAGTGAGATGAGATCTCCGTCGATTTTAAATATGGACCACATGTCATTGATACAACTGAATTCTGTACTGGACGTTATAATTTAGCTAAATCTTCCGAGAATTTTATAATTTTGTTTATTTTGCATTGAAAATGACCCGATCGGGGTCGAAACGTTCGTTTGCATGTATACATGTATGTAAGAAATTTTATTAAATATTCTTTGTTATAACTGGCTCATAGCCTATTCTTTTTACTACTGATTTATTCTGATTGAGCCATATAGACAATTTATTTTATTATTATTTAATTTTAATCTTGCTTCAGATTATGGAATTAGTCTTTGCGCCTAAGATCTCTAAATTTCTACTTTCGTACCTCAGAGCCCTTATTACAAATTTTATCCTGATATTTAAGAAATTATTTCCTGAAATAAACCTTATTAATACATTTCATCATCTTTCTCATTATCCTGAATGCATATTATGGTCTGGACCTCTGGTTCATTACAATTGTATGCGATACGAAGCTAAGCACAATGAAATTAAGATACGTGCACATAATGTCTGCAATTTTAAAAATCCACCAAAAACGCTTGTACGTATTTCTCAATGTGGTCAAAGTGCCAGATGGGGCGGAGGCGACGTCAAATTGATTAGGTTACACATTTTGCAGAGTAAAACCGTACTTGTACGAGATATTGAGAACAACGAAGATTTTTATGCACTCGGTTATCTTGAGGATGATGAAGTATTTTCGTGTAAATCTGTTCGATTGAATGGAATTGAATACCGGAAAGGATTATTTGTGTGCCTGGAAGCTGCACACGTTCGTGAGGATAACTTACTTCTATTTGGGTGTATAGAGGACATTTTTGTATTGCGTACTAACAAAGTATATGTAAATACATCTATTTGCACTACTATCCTGTTTGATGTGGATTTAAATGCCTACCAAATCAAGGTTGATGAACCTGGTACTCTTCATAGATTCGTTGAAACTTCGGCCCTTGCACATTTTAAACCTCTTGCGTGTTGGACTAAATCAACATCTAATGATCTGTTTATTAGTCTTCGCCATATAATTTTATAATTTTTATGAATAATGAAATGTAATTAATTTCTGTATTAACTCATTCTTCATTGTTGAATTTGTACAATTATTATAAACATTTTTATTTTACATTATTTAATACATCTTGACCTTTTACATTTCAGATGAATGCATCGACGACGAATCTTTTTTGGAACTTACCGAAAATGATTTACAAACAATGAACATTAAAATGGGGCCTCGAAAACGCGTAATGAAATTAATCAAACAAAATAAAGAGAATACAAACGTATGCAAGGCTATGCTATATATATATATGTGATCTGATTTTAATTTTGCACTATAAGCATTTTAATCCTCTGCACTTAAAAATTCTAGATCGTAATAGGTGATTATGTTGTTGAACATGACGGATCTGTAAAATTAAACGATAACATTTTATCTCCCCCTACGCCAAACCCTCCCACACAACAATCTAAACTATCTGCAATGGATGATGTTTCGGAACATTTTTTAAGTCGACCCTTACCTGAACTGAAGCCATCAGAAGACAGATTCTCGGTAAATATGCATTTAGAAATACATAGCCTGATATTTAGAATGTAAGTTATATTTTCGTTTGCAGCGCTACAACACGGTAGAGGACACTCTAAAAATGCATCCTCAGGGTAAAGACGTATTATTAGCAACCAAAACTACATTTACAGAAGAGGAGAGAAGGACATTGATACACATTGTTGTAGCAGAATTGGTGAAAGTTCACGATAGCTGGTGAATATTTCTTACAATATTACTGTAACAATTTTATTGTAAGTCTGAATTGTTAGAAATAATAAGTCGTACCTGTACAGTTATCCTCCTGAAAAAGCAAAAATTGCACTTGCAATAGCAATTATACGCGAATTTCCTTTGTTGAAAGATATACATTCCACCAAAGGTTATGTGAGTATGTTCATCTTCGAATTTCACAATAACAATCTTTATACTTATAACAAATTATAAAAATGTCATACCTTCGCAGGAACATTATTACGATAGTAAAACAAAAAGAGGTTTTATTAAGTACCGCGGCTGTGGACTATTCGGAAAACGATGTCACCTTCAAAGAAAAAATATAATATTACAAAGAGGGTACATGTAGAACAAGTTTCAGCAAATAAGTGCGAACTTCTTTCTACCGAAGAACTCGACAAAAAGGTTTTTTTTTTCGATAAAAAGTATTTAATGTAAATATATGATCAAGCGACGCGGTAGCGTCGCAACGCCAAAAAAGATTTCAAATGAAATATCTTGTGACACTGGTATTGGCATTGTATTATTATATACAGGGTGTTTCCAAATTAAATCGCAAAACTTCGGGAGCGTGTAGAGGAGTAAAAAACTAAGAAAAAAAGTCCTATAGACATATGCTCGTTTTTGCTCCGTTTCAGAGAAATCGAAAAAAAATGTTTACATTTCTTGCCATATCTAGCACCGACATATTTGATTACATTTTCCACTTTCTGTTATGAATTTGTCAGTCGCTCTTTGAAAGCCTTTAACAGTAGATGAATTTTGTCTTTTGCAATATGCCGCGTACGTATTCTAAT